ATCCGTGATCCTGAGCTCACGTGCTGCACTGCTTCTGGTCCCCCACAATCAGGGAAGTTGGGATACTGGGTGACAGGAAAGGTGATGATACTGCATAAAGGTTTAGGGACATCTGCACGCTGCAGGGAGAGGAGTCAGGGGGTCGTTTGACCTATGTCAGGCTTGAAAGGTCTGTTCTCCCTTTCAGAAAATAGAGGAAAAAAAAAAAAGTATACATGAGGAAATGAATGATAGTGCACTGCACAGTCCTCCTTTGATTTGTGTGTTATTTTGTATTCAGATACCTGTTCCAGTTTCCAGCTACTTCAGGACATTCTGATGATAAATAGGACTTTTGGAAAACCCTAATAACATGATATTTTATTTTTACCTTGGTCCGTGTTTCTATTCCCTCCCCTCTGGCCTTTTATAAATTTCAAAGTTACATAAACACTTCCCAAGAATACCCTTCCCTCTGCCTGTATACTGGTCTTGCACATAAACAGGGAGGGCTTGAAATCTGGCTGTGAAAGCTCCACCTTATTTTGACAGTAAAAGCCTCATCTCCAGTGCTATTCATTTTACATAGCGAAGTAATTTTTTATTTGTTAATGAAATAGTTTGATGGGAACGACTTAAATGTTTTTCTACTCATGTTTTATACCAGTGAGGTTCATTTGCCACAGTTTTCATAAGCACAAATGATGAGCTGTTAATTTATATGGTGTTTTGCAAGATTCTTCTATATAATAAGAAAACGTTGAATTGCCTTTGTGTATTTTAATACACTTTAATCCATTTGAGTTGTATGTGTTTAGTGGTCAAATTTTTGTGTTATGTAAATTAAATAATGTAATTTTTGCCCTTTTTCTTTTAAATTGAAAGCATTTAAAGGTACAAAGGAGAGAAGCAAAGGCTTATTTCTTTCCTGACAAGGTTAAAGCCCAGGAGTAAGTCAGACAAAAACCGCCAAATCTTCACACTGGATCTGTTTATTGAAATATTCAAATAGAATTCATTCTCTCTCTAGAGTAGACAATTTTGTTGCTGAAATTATGGTGGCATATGGGGAAGTAAGATATATTACAATAAAACTGATATAAAACAGTTGAATTCAGAAATAGTGGCAAGAGATAATTTTAGTTCACTATGATTTAATTCAATTAAATGCAACACTGTTAACTGCAGACTAAGAAGAATTACTTGTGCCTGTGCAGGCACACACAAGCATTATTTATTCTCTGCCGCATCTCTCTGCGAAAGAAATTACACCACTAAAAAGTGGGCGCTAGATGCTTTCATAGCACTGTAAAAGCCTAGATGCCTCACAGACCTCAATGGAAGTTTTAACTGAGCAAGGAGAAACAGTGAGCTGAGGTATTAGAAAACTGTATTTATGTAGTATGTGCTCTTTGAGCATCATCAGTGTTGGTGCAAGCTTGTGGACCAGCTTACCAAACGGTGCCTCAAAAGAGGTTGCCACCAGCAAGGGAAATATAGCTGCTTATTGTTTTTGGTTCAGAAACAAAGCAGTCAATTGAAACAAAACTGGTCAGTTTGAGTTGCCTGTGCCTTGCCCATCCCTAGGCACTGCCCCAAGCCAGGCAATGGTCTCTACAGATGTATCTTCTCCCACAGCTCCAGAAAGCAGCCCTTCCCATTTCTTCCCAGGGCCCTGGGTCTCTGGCAAGAGTGAGCAATTACTGATTCCCCTCCTGCTCGAACCACCTGAGCTGTTCCCTGCCCTGTACCTGAGCGTGATGGCCCAAGCCCACAGAGGCACGCAAGCACTCAAAGACCATGGGTTTCAGTCAGAGCTACATGCCTAAATGCCTTTGTGCATCTATGCCTGTGGGTCATGCTGGCCGTGCCCCAAATCCCTGCTCTCGGGCTGGCCACCTAGGAGGAGGCTAATGAAGGGCAGGTGGCACAACACCCAGCTCCCTCCCGGGGCTGTCGGACCCTGAGGCTGCGGGACAGCGGGCTGTAATGGAGACGTGCATTCACGCCGGCGAGGGGAATAGGTTTAGCATGGGGCTGTGCCTCTTTTTTTGAAACTCTCCTTCTTCAGCCTGGCTGTCCCTTCCTAAACAGCAGTTTCCCTGTATAAATCACACTTCTGGCGGCCGTCAGGATGGCAATGAAAGCCCACAGGCGCCCGTGCGAATGCTTTACACACCAGCATAGAGTAACAGGCAGAGAACTGGCAGGGATTTTTCTATGGATTCAACAGAAAGAAATTTCATACTGGATAGGTATGTTTTATTTGACCATGTATACTGGGATGTGGGACACTGTCCTTACTGGGACACCAGTGTTAATGCATAAGGACTCTAAGAATAAACCTTAAAACCTCAGGCTTTGTAGCACACACACGTGTGTGACAAAATCCTTCTTTTTCTTATTGTGTTTTTTGTCATGGTTTTGGATCATGGCATTACTTAAACATCTGGCTTCTGTAACTGTAAGGAAAGGGATGCTTCCAGTCCCAAATAGTGAGTTTGCAATCTGGGTACAGGACAGGAGCTCATAGCAAATGAAGAATAACTGTGAGCAGGAAACCAAGAAATGAATTTTTAGTAGTCACAATTACCCTTACACCAACTGCTTGACCACTGTCTGTTTGTAGGCAGGCTGGCAGAAGAGTGTACTGTGAAGTTTTTCTCAAGAAAAGACTAAGTCTGGGAAACAAGGGAGAAACCAAAAGGGATGTTGTGATACGGCAATGATTTCAGCTGCTTATGCTTTGGGATTGTTCAATAACGCAGGTAATTGTCTTTTATCATAGCCTTGTAACCACCACCTTTAATTTGTAGCACAGAGGTTACTATCTAGCACCCAGCTAGCCAAATGAAATGTATGGCTTGATTAAGGATCTCTTTTGTCAGTAATTTGTGCCTAATGTTTTTAGCTTTCCCACGGGCTGTTATAGAAAATGGTAAATCTGGTTTAAATGAAACCTGATACTGTTAATGGTTTAATAGCAGCTGCCACAGGGTTATGGCATTTTTCAACAGATGCTTCTGTTTCATTTTAAGCCTACACTAAGTCTTAGAATATATTTACATAATTAATATAAAGTACACCTACATAATAATGACAATATTTATAGTTTTAAAAGATTTCCTTAAATGAATTCCTCTCTCTTGCTGTTATCTAATCACAATATATAACTGGAAACGGGAAGGCATATTATTAAAATAATAATTTATATTCACCTCTTCAAAAAAATTATAGAATGCAGCACAATTATGAACATGTATCATCTCCTAACATAGCAGTTATTGGTATAGGCAAATCCCTTAGCTGCTTCAGAAAAAGAGAGAAAGAGCTTGGCTGTACCTGAGTAGTGCTTATTACCTTGGCTGCTGTTCTATCAGGAGTAGATAAAAGTGATGCTTGTGTTTACAAATATCAGTCAAGGAAGAGCTGCGTTGGGGTGTGTACTGATGTGCAGAAATAATTGAAGCAGTAGAGATTTGTGGCTGGTTATCAGCTGTAGAATTTCATCTGGTTGAGGAAATCTCTGTTAATTTAAGAAGACTTTGGCATTTTAGGCTGCTAATAGTGAGTGATCAGTTTGGATGGATGTCTTGTATTTGGAGGTCTTATTCTTTTCAAAAAGTGCTGAGAGTATATCCTGTAGGGCGCTCAGAGTCAGAGGATACCCTTGAATATTGTAACCTTCTACAAGTACGTGCCAGTTCACAGGCAGAAGAGGAGAAAAGGCTCCTTGGCTGGAAAGCAAGGTAAGGTTGAGCAGGAGTCTCTGCAAGGCAAAGGTACCAAGGCATTCACTGCTATGAACTTTGAGGACTGAAATGGGAACAATAGAAGGTGGAAAAATTCAAATAACAGAACAACGTCTGTATTAGAGAAGCATCCAAGATAGTTTATTTAAGAGATTAAGCAGCTCCAGTTCTCTACAATGTAGGGGAGGAGTGGTGAAGGAGATGTTTTGCTGTGTGAGAGGAGTAGCTGACTTATTTGCTCCCCTTGTCCCCATGAGACTATCCTTCAGAGCTGTTAGCCAGGGGATGATAGTAGTCATCTTCCATGTTCTAGCTTTTTTGTGGGTTTTGTTTTATTTGCCCTTTCAATGTAGTAGAGCTGTTGAACAGGAACCCTACACTTATTATAGAAAACAGTTAAAATTGGGGCATAGGACCAGATTTCTTTTTATTTGTCTTTGCCATGCTCCATTCTCTACCCTCTTCCCCATGACTTTGCATTACTTCACATAGCAAACCTTAGAGGGATTTACATAAATTCATTACTTCAAGGTGTTTCTTCATTCCTGATTTTCAAGTCTTTGCCATGGGAAAACAATTGCTCCAGGGCCCTAAGGCATTGGTAACCCTCTTCCATAGCCCAAGCTGCTCAGAATAATATGTCAAGCTAAGTGTAAACAGTATTTGCCAGTCTTTGCTATGCTGACAGTTTGCTATCTCAAAATCCTTTTTGACCCTACCCCGAGGTTAACAGACTTTGCAAGAAGAGTTTTCCTGCTTTACTTTGAAAGACAAGGGCTATTGTATACTAGTATCATTCCCAGAACCGGGTGGAGAAGAGTTCATGACTCAATGAGGAGCAAGCTTGCAAGTGATCTCACTGGGAATTTTTATGAACTCTCCAAAGCTGCTGCAAGAAGAATCCTGTGGTGAATCTCAGTAAGCCCTCACAGGGAAACCTCAGCCTTAAAGCTACTCTGCCTTAAAGTTTTCTAGTGGCAATGTTTTTCCACCACTGGTAAATACAGACAGAAAATAAAACACCTTCAGAAAGCCAAGGGAAAAAAAGAAATCACAAAATTAGCATGGAGAAAAAGCACAGCGTTTTCTATTGGAGTTGGAAATAGTTCAAATATATGATTGGGTGCAAAAAGAAGAGTTGTTAATTGTTTTAGCGTGCAAAATTTGTTCAAAGGTATGAAGTTTTTAGACCTTTATATGATAAAAGAAAGCTGGTTCCCTTGTGATGCTGTTATAGCTAATGATTCTTCTCTTTTCTTCCTTTGCTAGATTCTACCACCTAGAAAAGCTGTGAAGCCAGGCATGGTCCTACTCTTTGAACTCTTCCTTCTTCGTGGGACCTATACTTGGATTGATCGAGAAGTGGGATGGGGAGCTTTTCCCTTGTGTGACAACAATTTTAATCCTTTGGAGGGAAAATATAAATGTCCCTTCCTTAGAGGCCATTACGACTCCAAAGTTGACCGATTCAAAAAAATTGAAAATTTTATTTCACAAGACTTGGATCATTGGTTATGCAATCTCTACTTTCAGGTTTGTATTTAAAAAAATTAGGCCTGTTGGTTTAGTCACTGTTCCTCAGAACCGGCTCCACTTTCCTTCTGTCTGCCTTAAAGTCAGTATCATCTTTCCAAAAAGCAGTTTATCAACCTCCCCCGGAGATATATAAAGAAAATAAAAATTACATGCATCTCCAAATTTTTTGTGAAATTAGTGGATTTTTTTACAGCCAAATTTTGGTATTATTTAAGATATCAAAATATTGTTTGGGGTGCTGAGTAATTGCATCAAAAAATTAGATCAAAAGTTGAAATTCTGAGTTTGAGCCTGCCACCAGTACATGTTAATTTCCTCCACAGTTTTAGTGAATCTCAGAGGTGCTTTCACATGGCTACAGAATAAAATAATGTGATTTATGATATTGTTGCATTTGGAATGGAAATGGAATTCCTCATAGTGAGAAAGGTTCTATTGTGGTAGGAACCTTGCATTGAATAGTTTTTGGGCATAATTCAGATGTGACATTTTTTATATGTCTTTGGTGAAAATGGGCCTAATTTAAGAACTCCTCTTCAGCGGAAGCTTTGTTTCTTGACTTGCAAATTAAGTGTTATTGTAACTGAGATATGTTCACTTATTTAGAATCTTAACAAGACCTCAAACTTATACCTTTTTTATGTCTGGCTCGGGAAAAAACATTTAACAAAAGAGATGAATACTGAATGCATCTTAATTTTAACATGTAAGTTTACTTAATAGAATGTATAGTTATTCATTTTCTTGTAGTTTCAGGCAATTTTCTTTTTTTGGGGTTTACCAAGAGTAGAAGAAAGTGAAAATAACTTCAGAACCACATAGACATATAAGAATTTATACCAAAAATGTACCTAAGGTATTCTAGGAAAGAGGATGTCAGAAATAATGTTAATAGAGCTATTGTAAAAAAGCAAGAGAAGCATCAAAATTGGTTGCAATGGGGGGAGGAAGGAAGACCCCAAAGCCGCAAAATTAGTCTTTCAACTCAGTGTGTAAGCTAGGATGACTTAATCATCCAGCGGTATTTGTATGAACTCTCCAAAATTGCTGCAAGAAGAATCCAATGGTGAGTCTCAGTAAGCCCTCACAGGGAAATCTCAGATTCACAAGTTGTTTTTTCACTCTGCCTTAAAGTTTTCTAGTGGCAATGTTTTCCCACCACATATTTTACCTGGTGATTCTGAATTTAGATTGTGAATGACCCCCATTTACTGGGATGTCTTCTTTCGTCTGTAAGCATGGGGAAGATGTACATAGGAAACTGATATGAGAGAAAATTGTAGTAAATGGAGTAGAGAGAAACAAGAACTTCCTAAAATCCTCGTAGCAGGACCTTGGACTTCTAGAGTCCACAAATAATGTACAAATGGTATGTCTTAGCTTTGTGAAATACTGAACTGTTTATGTTCGTGTATTTTTTTTTTTCTTAATAGATAATTAAACTACCGCAGGATTCAGATAAGCAAAATAAGTGTGATACGCAACTTCATCTCCCACCTGAACTTCTCATGTGTTCAGGAGTTTCTGAAAAGAATGGTGTCTTCAAGAATGTTGAACAGTCTGGACCACAAGGTGATGGATTCAAATTTTTGTATTTATATTCAGGCCTTCATTGAAACCCGTAGTTCTATTTCAGTGTTGGCTAATCATTATTGTTCTTGTTAAGATAGATTTTTCTCATTCGGATATTGGTCCAACATGTTATAGCAGGAATGCTGTGATTCTTTTTATTAATATTGCGTAACTTTGTTTTCAGTTGTGAGCAATTTAAACCAGCCTCATTGCTGAGGATGAAACTTTCCATGGTGAGGCTTGAGGCTGAATACTGCTTGGAAAGTCGCAGCAGTAACAGTTCAGCTGTTTATGACACCAAGCTTACAGGAAGAAGTCAAAAAAAGAAAAGATACTTTTCTTGTCAAATTATTTCTGGAAGAACTCTAGCACCTCCCTGGGCTAGAACAGGGACTTCAAATTTGGCAGGTAGATAGTTCTGGCATTAGAGACATGCCTTATGCTACTCCTATGAAATTCTGTTAAGATTCAATTGAGTGGTAACCTATAGGAAAGACAAATTATCATTTGCTAATGTGCAGCAGACCTCCCCAGAAGCTTTCTTTAAAAAATGCTGATTGAGACTCTTAGACTGAGCATCCTCCCTGGCTTCTGAGTCTCCTGATGTAGCTACACTGAAGACATACTTGACCATATTGAAAGGGACTCGGAAATTTCTCCTTTTCTGTTAGAAATACAGGAATGAGAAGAATGTCAGGACACTGCCATTGTTTTTTCTTTTTCAGCATGTGGCATCTGACTGTTGTGGATAAAAAGAATTCTTTTTTTTTTCTGTACATTCTTATATTCCCTCTTGTTTAATGAACTGAAGGATGTCGCCACATAGTGTCTGTGTGAATATTATGTGTGGATCTGTACCAGGGATTCAGTTCTTCGGGACAGAGGTTCCTCAAGCATTTGAGAACAGCAGCAGTGATGCACGGTAGAAGACACAGGAGGAGTAAGAGGAGGATATTGGAAGGGAAGAAAGAGATCAGATAAGCAATAATTATTTAGCGTGGCAAATGGGCAGCTCAAGCTGGAAGTATAACATGAAAAGAAACCAGTAGAAGTATTTTTCAGACAGTGAGTGATGTGTTAGGAGATAAAGAAAATTGAGGTTTGCCCTGTGACACTTCTGGGCTAAGCAGCAACGGCACCGTGATCAAACGGCTTTTATATAACCACTGTGACAGCAGAAGCATGGACGTGCAAACATACATTGCACTGAGGAATAAGGTCCTTTTTGTTGCCACATATGTTCTACAGATCTGCTAAGGTGCCTCTAGATGCAGCACAAAACCATGAATAGCAGATCCAAAATGTGGAGCCAATTTTTCTCAGCATCGAAGACTTACGGACAAGTTCTTAATAAGACAACGGACGGATATACACATAGAGGCTGCAACTAAATAGGTCACACTTCTGGAAAAACATGGAAAAACTCATGATACTCAGTTTGAGAAGTCCAGAAAGATGTATTTATAAGAACTGAGGAAGAGCATTAATGTATGTCTTATTTTGTGTGCAGACCTCTGAAATACGCTGATAAGCTGATCATGGAAGATCTGCAATTTCCATACCAAACAGATTTGCACTAACAAAATTTCTAGGAGTAATTTTTGATATTGTTTATATTTATTTATTTTTCTTGTAGCCTTCTTTAAAGATATTATTAGCTGCTAATATCCCCCATGGGTTTGTTTTTTAATGTATCTATGCAGTGCTACAGTATGCTGTTTCTGCTGGTGATATGTTGCTAAGAGATTTAATAATGGGTAAACAAACACAACATGTGGTAATCCATTTCAAATTAAAAGTTTATTAAACGCTAGCTTGATGACTTTCTGGCTATTTACAATTAAAGGAGCAAACCTTAGGGAACTGGAGATCACGTGGTGAAAATCACGACTTCAACATTTCCAACAGAAAAATGTGTTTATGATCTGTGGCAAGCTGTCGCACGTTGATATGCTCTATAAATACTATATTATATCTGTTAAACCACCAAAAGCAAAGGGAAAAAAAATCTCTGTTAAAGTGACATTAAGGTTGAGACACAAACCAGAGAAAGCAAGAATGGTCTAAATGAAGACTGGTGCTCTGTAACTCACTCTACTGCAGTAGTCTAAATAGTGAGTGATCTTACATATCGATACCATATGTGGTGCTGCAACATATAAGCAAAATAGAGCAGGTTAGAAGATGGTGTTTTAACCTTCACTTCAAATTTGTCTTGGTTTTAGAAGTTTAAGACAGAACCTTCATATTATTTCCATTAACTCCAGCCTCCATTGTTCTTGTAAACCACAGCTCAGTGCTGGGCTGCGTATGGCTGTTCCCTGCTGCACAGGATCTCCCAGAGTACAATGCAGGGAAATGCAACATAAAACCTCCCATTCTGCCGCCTTTGTAGGTTACAGATCCACATTATCGGATCTAGTGTGTCTCATAGTCCAAACAATATCTTCTCTCCATTCTTTTGAAGTGGTGTTCCCTGAGAGATTCATGGAAGAATACAGTTTCCACTTTCACGACCACCACGCTTTGCTTTTTTTAAGAAAAGCCTCTGTTGTTGTTCTGTTGCCCCATTAAGGGATCAACAGTCTGTGTCAATAAATAAATTATAATTTCTCCATGGAATTTATTAGCCATTGTTGTGTGGAAGGTGGTAACAACTCTAATAGAAGTAGCATAGGCAGGAAAACTTGATGCAACTACCAGAAATATGTCCTTGGTAGGCTTGGATCTAAGTAATCCAGTCTTCTAAATTTATGAGAAATTCAGAAATGTGAATCTCCATGTAAAGCACTAAATATACAAGTACTTCAAGAGAGCACTATTTCTCACTGTGAAATCCACAACAAGATTCCCTTTGACTTTAGAGTCCATAGAAGAGGGGAATCACATGTGCAAAATGTCAGGGTAAGAGTCTTTTTGAAAGTGGCAGCTCTTTCATCCTCAGTAAAATGGCTGGACAGCACTCGTATATTTGTTCTCCAGTTCAAAGACTTTTAGGTCAGACTCAGGCTCATTTGGGAAGCGTTAATCTGCACTTGTTGGGAACATTCTTCCAAATGCTTGCTCTTCTATCTGTGCCGTTCCTCTAACTTGATGCGCAAACACATATTGATCACAGAAGTGGTGATCAAATAAAATTGGCAAGTAGAAAATCAGGGGTGATTTTACCCCCTGTAGTTTGTAAACCCAAAGGAAAACCTTTTTGATTGTAGCGACTTACACCTCTTTAATATTGGCTAGTTTGAAGTCCTGAAATTATGGTCAGCACTGTCCTAGTATATAATAATTTGTGCTCAAGACTTAAAAAGGGTGTTTACAAGGGAGAATGTGAAAGAGTGGCTGAGGAGGATTAAGATAGTAAAATTAATTTGTTTTAGTTCCAAGTTGTGTGCAGGTTTTGGTCAAATTACAGCAGAAATCACTGCCTGGTACCTACACAGTCATGACCAGTCATACATCTTTTTAAGCAGAAGCTAGCCCAAGCACTACAGCATGAAATCAAGATGGGAGTTGTGCTTAGCCTGGCTGCATTGGAGGAGAGGTGTTATTGGCCAAGATTTTCAAGAAAAGCGTTCCAAGGTAGCCAGACTAGTTTGGTTCCAGTAGCAGGATGATCTTGCTGTAGTAGAGCTGTGACACAGGCTATATTAGCCTGGGTACAGTGTTACGTTAGCATGGCTGCACTGCTCCCAGTGCCTGGGCTAGCAGAGATCTTTGTTGCTACTGTTTTGCTGAGTAAATTTGTCACTTAGCTGTGGTAGTAGGAGTCTTTCTGTCTTTGGACTAAACACCTACATGCAGGTTTTCTATGTGTCTGTAGTATTTTCTTTCCAGAAAATTTGCTTGTCCCTCGTCCCCCCCTGCTCCTCCATACATCGGGAGAAAAAACCAACTCAGCTATTTGAGTATGGTTTTAAGGACACATTTTCTTACAATGAACAAATAGCTCATTTTTTTCCCCAACTTTATTTTTCCCTCCCCTTACAAGGCTTGCCGTCTAACAGTAGCACATGTGGCTCATCTGCCACGTGCATCAACCAGAAGACAAGTCAGAGCAGCTGAAATTTTTACAGTTCCTTAACAATAAGCTTATAACAGAAATAAATATTATACAGAAGGATCATTTTCCACTATAGTATTTATATGGTTGCCGTACAATTCAGAGCATTTTTCTGTCCATCTTCCTTCTGCCTGCCTGGCTGGCTGTTAAAAATAAGGTTGGTTTGTACCACTTGGCTTTGGCTGTCCTTGAAACTCGCCGGAGCTGTAAAGCTTTAAACAGTTGCGCAGGTCTTTAATTGTAAATTAGTTTTGACAGGACTGCTAGGCGAAGGCCTGGCCCATCCCATCATGATGCTAGCCGACAACCCCTTACCGCTCCTGGAGCAAGGAAACATGTGGAAGGAATTGTTCTTTTACATTTCACAGCTTGTCATTTCCTCTGCAGGGCAACCTCTGACCTCCCCGAAAGATCCTGACACCCATAAGGGAAGTATTCCCACTGTTGTAAAGGAAGTGGAAAAGCAGTTTAATGCTGTGAAAGGAGGAGAAGCGTGTATGTCAGAAGAAGCTGAGAGGAAAAGAGAAGAGCTTAAAATGCTTCCAGCAGGTTAGGACTTTTATTGTGTTATTTAATTTACCAAAAGTTTGCAAATAGATCTGCTTGGCATGTGTGTAAATACTCCAGTCTCCCTTCCCCCTTGCTCTGCGATATCATCTCATCATTATTTCACTAGGCAAAGGAAGTGATGGAAGAGTTTAAATCAATTGTGAGGGATCAAAAGCAGCTTAGGCAAAAAAGGTGGGCTACTCTGTCTAAAAAGTATTAGTAGGCCAAATGTGTTAGTAATTACAAGGTGTGTGTGGAGTGCACTGACAACATTAGATTACGGCTGGTGTTTCTGTGACATTTTTACATCCTTTCATTTTATTTGGTCATTTATATCCATGGATCACAACATGTTGCTGTTAGGTGCTTGAGAAGTACTTTTTCTTCCTGCAGCATGTTAATAGCAATATCCTTTTTAAATTGTGCTGAGCTAAATTGTGTAAGAGTGCCTGTCTGTATTAACATCAGGTAGCATTTTCTTTTGGGATGTGGAGTTTCTTTTGAAGGCAAAGCCTTGTAGCTTGGTCTGTTTTGGTTTTTTTTTTTTTGTTTGCTTTTTTTTTTTTTAAATCCCAGGTAAAACACACATGTCTGAGAACTATGTAGCACAACCTCTAGGTCTTATTCTAAACTCAGATACCACCATGATGGCCAGAGGCAGATTTACTACAGGACAGGGACCTGATGGTACCAAGGTTATCGACAGCCACCCCCACTTAATAGCCTGGACAGTGAATTGTGCTTTCTGTCCCATGATAGGAAAATGGCTGTGCAGGCACAGAAGCCGCTGCTGCCCCGGGTGCTGGCCAGCCCTCCTGGTCATGGTACTGAGGATTAAGATAAATTGGTAGATTGAGTAACCGAGGTAGTGGAAAAAGCATCGGGAGCTGACCTGAGATCTACAGTCATCCACAGTGCTTGTGACTCCGCCACCTACCACAAACAAGGCGAGGGTCAGGTGTCACTTTAAGGAAAGGACAACTCTCATGGCCTTGGAGTGTAAAGAGAGCTGAAAGTACAAGTGAAAAGAAATTAATCCCTTTTGAAGGGAAAGAGTGACTCTTGTTCTGTACCAGAATGCTTTAATAGGTCACATTTAGACATTGAACTGAAAACTATTAGGTAACAAATAACTACCTGAGGTCTGATAGCTACCTCTTATCTGTGTAAACAGTAGTTCATAGTTATCTTCAAGTCTCTGGTCTCCTCAGAATTAAGCAGTAGAATTTTGGATGCTGATTTGAAGTCAACTGACATACCAGCTTTCCTTTTACAGCAACCCATGAAATGTAGTTCAAGACCCATTACTTTGAAGCTGTCCTTCTCCGTTGACTTCTAGAAGGCTAGGACTATGCATCTGCTATTATAGGTACATTTTTTGAATATCTGATGTTAAACAGGCACAATTAGAAGTAGGAGCTAGTGTGATATTGCTTTGTCAGGATTCATAAACACTGAAAATTGATGCTGACCATCATAGATGCATAAGAAGTAGAGTACAAAGCTGGTGTCAATTTTTATTGAATGGTGTTGATGACAAAAGATTAAGCATGTTACAGAAAAAAAGTAATAAAAATTTCTAGTCTTTTAAGGGTTAATACACCTCCTAAAAAGACCAACACTTCATTAATGTCTTTTCTAGATGTTGGCCCTTCCAAGAATGTAATCTCAGCCCTAGCTTAGAAATTTTTTTCCAACTTCTACATTGAAGTTCATTTAATTCATTTGCACAAAATCAGTTGTACAAAGCAGCTTTGAATACTCCCAGTATTTAAAACATAAGTAACCTGCATGAACAAAAGATGTTTTAAATAACATTTAATGGTATTTGACATTTGCTTGTGGCTACTTTTTAAAATTTTTTGCTCTTTTCTTTTCCTTACAAACATTTGGGTGCCTCCTACTACGGAATGTATGTCTCAGAACCTAATTATTAGTTGTGCAGGTAGGCAGCTATTCCTTCTTTCTTATTCCCTCTACCCCCATTGCTAATGCTTATCTAGGTCTAAAACTACCATGTTGAATTTTTATTCAAATTAGTTACGTGAAGTTTGGGAGAGATCCAGTGCCAAACAAAGCATTTTAGAGCCCACATTTTCAATTCAAGGTGGTCTCGTACAAATACCCTGAAACAATGCAGCTAGAGAAGTGGCCTGATTTTGAAAGGTACTGAATTATTACAACTTTTATCAAAGCAAGGTTAGATTCAAAGGGCATTGTTTTGCATCATCAGAGGTTCTGACTCAATATACTCAAAAAGATAATACTGTCATCTATTGAGGATTTTAAAAACAGATCTTGTATAATAAGGAGTCTACCTGAACTACAAGCAGATCTCCAAAGGCATCCATGGATTTAAATTAAGTGAAAAACATTTTTGCTTTTCTTTATTCACAAGACAACAGAATTTTTTCTTGATGAGCTCAATTTCTGGTACTTGCTAAATCAATTACCTGTTAATTTAATGCAAAACCTTAGTTTCAAAAGGCACATCACTAAAGCACAGATTTTCTGTGTTGGAACACGGTCAGTAATGTAACTACTAAACTCAATCTCTGCACTCAAAACTAGGGAGGGAAAAAAGCTTCATTTTGAAATCCCTGGATAATTTTTGCAGAACCACGTATAAACTGGGACTTATACTTTACCTGATGTTTAATTTGGAGCTTCAACAGTGCCTGTGTTTTCCTCCTCACCAATGCTCATCCCAGCAGGCTGCTGCTCCCTAGGCTTCCTTTCATATGAAGCCTGATTTTTTTTTTTTTTTCAAAGCCCCCAGTTATGCACATACCACAGTAAAATCCTGGAAACATGTAAAATATTTCTCATAAATGTTGTTAGTTAGCCTGTTACAAGCAGCTTGCATTCTGCTCATTTTTGGGGTTTCACACCACTTCTGTTGTTCTTTCAATCCTCTGCTCTGTCACCTTTTTATGGCACACCCAGGACAAATTTTTAGCCTCTGATTTTTCAAACTTACCAGCTCAGAAGGATTCTTTTACTCAATTTCTGTCTTCTGAAATAAACCAAATATTGAAAATTTAATATTAAATATTGATCATATTTAAAGTCTTTTATTCAAAACCCTTTCTGCATTTGTGGGAAAACATTGGGAGTGAATTGCATTTGTGACCTCAAAAAACATTTCCGCCCAAACAAAGCTTCAGAATAACACCTAAGCAAAGAGGGCATCAGGCAAGGAGTTAATGCGCTAGCAGATAACACTCAGAAATTTTATTCAGAACACATTATGATGTCCCCTCAATATCAAAATACCAAACAGAGACAGCTTCATTCTGAGTTTACCTTTGGAGAGAAAGTTTTTCATTTGTTAAAACATGCTTGTGTAGGTGAGAAGTGGTTTTGTTGAGAGGATTATATTTATGCTCACAGCCACTTCTGAAACAATTTCATGAAAACTAGTCAGCCTTCCTTGCAATATTTCTCATTATACTACAATGAGGTTCTTCTCCTTCTGACATGCCGTTTGCTTCTACGTGACAGTCATATGCAGATGCAAAAATAATTAGCTAAACCAAAAAACCCAAGGCTATTCTCATTGGTAGTTCCTCATGGATGCCACTTTAGAGAGAACAAACTTATATTTAAAAAGATTACTTGCCCTTCATTTTTTCTACATACAGAGCCTCAGACGGCTGAACCTTCTCTTTTTCTGCTGGTTGTCTCCTCTGAGTAGAACTGTACAAAGGATTGGGTTGATTCTTGCAGATAGGATCACATTCAGCTCCTGCTTACAGTTGTGCAGTCTATATAATCCAAATTCTTCTTTTTTCCAACTGTTAACCACACTGATTTCCCACAGGCTGGGGTATTACTAGGGAGGGAGTCCAGGAAGGATTTTCATGTTATTTTCTGTTTCCCTGCTGTAATTTAATGAAGCTGGTGATCTATTTGTCTGCTACCCCACTCCTGGATGTGCTGCTCCACTCTAAAATTCTTTCCTCCTGACTAAAGGAGAGGTCGCGGCCATCAGAAGAGAGTGCACTTCATCCTTCTTTACTTTGCCTCCATAGAAGTATTTCCTACCAAACCAGTATAAAGGGATTTCCTATCTCTGCTGTATCTTTCTGTCCATATTAAAAAAAAAAAACAAAAACAAAAAAACACAACCTAAAATTTCTCTTTCCTGCTCCCCCTAAATATGCTCTTTCCAACTACCTGAAAGGAGGTTGTAGGGAAGTGGGAGTCAATCTCTTCACCCACGTCTCAAGCGATAGGACAATAGGAAATGGCTTTAACTTGTGCCAGGGAAGGTTTAGATTGGATATTATGAAAAAATTATCCACTGAAAGGATTATCAAACATTGTAATAGGCTGCCCGGGGAAGTGGTTGAATCACCATCCCTGGAGGTATTTAAAAGATGGGTAGATGTAGTGTTGAGGGATGTGGTTTAGTGGTGGACTTGGCAGTGGTGGGTTAATGGTTGGACCCAATCATCTTGCCCCAGTTGCTGCTGTCTGGTTCGAATTGCAGAGTCATCTTGGAGGACAAACACTGGACTCCCTTAGGGTGAAGCTAAGCTACAGGATGTGCCTTAGGTGCGTGTATCAGGTATTAATGGACCATCGATTCTCAGGACCAGACTAGAGCTAGTCTGACAAACTTTTCAACACACAGTTGGATCCCCGATATTTAGTGGTGCCTTCCAAATTGCTGCTGTAGTGGATCTACAGATCCACTCCTGTTGCACCACAGTACTTGTTGCAGAACACATAACCAAAGATGATAGCTTCCAGACTGAATGTAGAGGACAAAAAAGGTTACATTATACTCTACAAGGGTTAAGAAGAAGTAGAACAATGTCCGTTACTTAAGGTCATACTACTATTGTTATCTATTGCCCCAAGAAGGCTGGTGCTGAGAAAGGTAGTAGAGAAGCACTAACATTTTAGTTTCCAAATTCTTTCCATCTTGTTTTAAAAATGTAGATCCCAGTGGATTTCAGAGACTTGGTACAGGTGACACTTTCTTTGTACCCTGTATCAGGTGTGAGCTGTGTAGCCTCTCCACTGTTTTGTTGGGACTAAATATCAGCAGGGTATAAGACTGCTTTCAGCTTGGTCAAGGTCTGGAAACAAACTTCATCCCACCATACTTTGCCAAATCCAGGCATTGTTATTATCATACCCATTCCACAGTGGTGGGAAAAAATGCCACCCATTTTTTTCCTATTTGTCTTATACAAATGTACAGCATTATAACCGTTCTGCTTGACTTCTTATTAATGGCTGACTATAGATTTATAGCATTGGATTAAGAATTTTATTGTCTTTTCCAGGCCCTGGTGTAATCACATTTTCCTGCTCTTATGTATATGTTTGTTGACTTCCTTATAAATCTATTAACAGAGAGTTTATACTCGCCATTGTACCTTTATCACAGCCGTGATACCTGTCTTAGGTTGTTTGCTCTTGGTGCTATTTTCTCCTCCTCAAATTGCTCATTTTTATCGTGAATGGTATTATGTTGCCCTGTCAGGGAACAAAATGTATTTTGAGTCAATTTACTAAAATAGTCACTGCTAAGTGCTATATCTGGACAAAGTTGACACCTTTGACATTTTCTAAAATGGCAAAAATAACTGTATTTAAGGTATGATTTATGGGTACTGTATGTCAAAGGAATTTCTGTGTTATTACAGTTTCTGATGCAGCTATCTGAACTCCTTCAATGAACAAATTGCTGATAGCACAGCTAATTAATGCTTTATTACTTTTCTGTGGTTAATTATAACAAGTTATAAAAAGGTAAAATGCAATTTAATAATAAAGAACTGTGTGATTCTTGTTTCTTTCTCAGAACTGCTTTGTTTGGTGCATGTGGAAGAAACAATTTCTGCATAGCTCAGTTTTATAAGACATGTTTCCCCCCACTAAGAGCAACTCCTATGATTAAAAAGTAGACTGGAGTCTTTAAATGTCTTTCTGATTGCTGGCCTCTATTAAAAACTTCTTAAAATAATAGATAGGTTTAATTCCTCAAGCCAAAGAAAAATTATATCATCTTAAGTATTTTCCATATTTATTATATTGATGAGACTTGGCTGCAGAGAAAAAAAAGGAAGCAAAATCTCTTGTATTGCAAGTTTTAAATGTACCAGGCTAAGGTTTACTTAATTAGAACCTCCAGGCAATAAAGGAGCCCTTTTTTAAATTCTGTGAATCTTAATATGCTAAATAATGCAAAGCTTCAACTCTTCAAGCATGAGACACACATCTGGCAGCTTAACATTTAAATTACAGAAAAAAAACCCACTTCAGTAGTAATTTTCATGAAGAAAAGAATGGGAAATGTATTACAACTAAATTTAATTTCTTTTTAGATTTTTCATCCTGTCTAATTGCAAGCATTTGCCATCTTCTCCTTTATTTATTTATTTTCATACAGATTTTTTTCTGTACTTTTTATTGATCTTTAATTTGAGCAGCTTCTTACTGTTACAGCCATTGAAGAATTACATTGTGTTTTTACTTAGCAAAAATTGTTCAGAGAACTCTATAAGGAATTAAAGCAATGAGCTCACTGGTATAGAAAGAAAAGAGCATTCAGAGCCTTACAAATAAAATAGAAAAAGAGCATGTCATGATTAAATAACAAACTTGAGTTCATTCTCCCTCCCATTTCTTAAATGTAGAATATTATTGTTTTCTTTATTCTTTTTATTGCGCTGTTTTTTTGGCCAAGGTAATTACTGCTTTATTCATCTCCAAAAACATTGTCAAAGTCTTCATTATTTCAGCAAAGCTATTTGGAAGCCCATTTCGGTGAGCCAAAATTAAAAAAAAAAAAAAAATGAACAAAGGAAACTGCAGTAACCATCTTTACCAAGGTATGTTCATATTTTAATGTGTGTTTATGGGTTCATACATGTATCACACGTGGAATATGTGGAGACAATCTGAACTGTTTGTACTGCATGTGCGCACCTGTGACATACCCAGTAGCTGTATTTTATGCAATTTCACTAATTTCAGTAGATAATTTCTTTCATCCCAGATGGCATAAATATCTGTAAATACCTCATCCACTATGAATGCTCAGCATATATACACCTATACGTGTGTATATATGTGTATGAAGTAAGGAATAGAAAGATATCCATAGGTACATACACAATCACACAAGCTCGAAGCTGTGACATCATATATGTGTATATTGTATATCTACAACTGTAACACCTAAGAGCAGATCCTGTCTGTACTGTGATTTTGAGTACACTTGACTGTCTTTTACTGAGGGGAATTGGAAGTAACTGGGAAAAAAAAAAAGTGAAATAATAAAGTATATTTTTGGCTTATCCTCCATGTGCTGCACATTAAGAAGTGTAATACAGACCTTTATTTCCATTGTACCACTGCTTTCTATGTTGTGGGAGTATATTTTTGTTCACAGGTTGCTGATTTTCAGGAGTTTGAGGGACATGTACTTGAGTAAACATTGCTTAGAACACAAGTACCTGTGTCTTATTCTCAATCCACAACCATGCCCATACAAGAAATTGAACTTCCTTCTCTTTTCCAAAGAACTCATTCTAGGATGTTTAAAATATCCTTCAATGTCGTTCTTCTTGTCTGTTATTTCTTTATTTCTATTTGTTTCTCCTGCTTCGTATCTATACAGATTTTATTTCCAGCACCATGGTGTCTGAAGTTTTCTCTGCATTTATCATCCTAACACTTCTGAAAGGTAGAAGGTAGGAGAGAACTAACCACCTATTTATAACAAGGACAGAGGGGAAAAAATTACCTGCCTGGAGTCATGCGGGATCTTGCTGGGATAGGGAACAAACCCCAGGTCCTTCCAGAGCTTTGTCTTATGCACTGATATAAAAAGAGATTATTTCTTTTTCCTTACAGAGCATGATTTTTACCAAGATTGCCATGGCAGTGCAGATGAGCACTGCAGCTGGTTTCAGCAAAAGGAAGACCAAGAAGGACATCACAAGGTACTGAACTTGGTCTGTGTGTTACCATCTCCCTTAAAGTACATGGTGAAGCCATTGGAGCTTCTACCTGTGCCATTTAGGAATGATCTATGGGCTCGTTTCTTGTCATTGTTGTTGTGTTTCTTTAACCTATCCCTGTGAATTTTGTTATAGCTACCATAAGACTTCACACTTCTGTCTCCCACATAGATCTGTAGGGAACTAATCTCTCCAATAAAGAAATTTAAAAGGAATAGTAGGAAGGACCATCCAGATAATGGCAGCTTTACCAAGGCTGCATTGCAGGATGATATTATTTCAGTAATGTTTAAACACAAGATAGATTTCCTATGCATCTGTAACATTCAAGCTCTTATGTCCTTGTGTACTTTTACCCTTACCCCTACTTTTAGGATCCTTATTTGTAGTGTCTTGGTCAAGGGCATAATTTGTGAACAAGCTTTGTGTGATCAGTATAAATTACCATGAAATCACATATGCATCACGACAACACTTTCTGGGTAAGACACTATTGGAACTTTCCAGTATAATATAAAACCTGAGAACTAAGACACAAAGATGACTGTCATTATTTGTTCTAAATTAGGTATTTTCCACTGAAGGATGCAGTTTTTCTCTGTAAGTGTTGCTGCACTTCCCTCTTTAGATCAGCATGGCTGCAGTAAACTATAACTGCAAATATGAATATTCAAATTAATCGTTCTGGTAATTTGTCTTGCCCTATTCTAGATGTACCCTGAAACATTTTTAATGCTTTTAATTGGCCATGGAAAGAAGTCATCACAGTACTCAGAGTACTCACATATGTGAACTATGTGTTTATACCTCTACATGTACTGTGGCACAAATACTCACTAGCTGGGAATTATTATCACAACTTTGACTTTAGTTATGTGATGATCTACATATAAATATCTGTGAGCAAAACTGGATTGGCCAACTGGAAATTCCTTCCATTTTAAATTACTGAGTTTTCAAGTGACTTATTTCTTTAGGCAGGTAAGGTTAACTTGGAGAAACCAGAGTTATAAACACACCTGCATACTTGTGTGCGCATGCGTGTATGTAGCCTTGTATCTATAGAAAGACCAATTTAAGGACTGATGGAGTGGGTGTAATGGGCAAAAGCAACCCAACCCATGGGAGTGGCAGAGTGAAATTCATTTCCTACAATCCCATAATAGCACATCGCCTTTGTTCAAAGTGCCACGCTCTTATAGGAAACCTCAGTTGTGGGTGGCTCTCAAAGCCACATTAAAGTGACCTGGTTTCAGTAAGGTGCGTAAGCCCATGGGTAATTCAGCACTGTCTAGTCCCTTTGGACTCGGTGAAATGACTCACGAGCTTACAGTTATTGACATGCTTAAATAGATTTCTGAACTGAGCCTCTTGTGAGAATACTTCTGACAAAAGAAATGTGAGCATGTGAAATCTCCTTTCAAAGGTTGCAAGAGGCCCTCTATTTTAACGGGATGAGTGAGCCCTAATGTTCAGAGAGATCCTTGTTTTAGCAAGTTCAAGATTTAGACACTTGGCCTACTAGTATCTCTGGAACTGAAACCATCTTTTGAAATAATTTTACCCAGCAATCGTATACTGGAAACAATTTCAAACACATGTGAAGAACAGACTTAAGGCAAAAGACAGAACTTCATGTAATGAATTGTTCTTTTCAACTGTCCTTTTCCTTTTTGTAAACAGATTTTTTAAAATTTATTTTTTTGTAACAAAAGCAAACAGAAGGACCTTCGGGTCTGACTTCACCATATTTGGGAATATAAGAAACATCAGCAAAACCAAAGGTGTTATTGTTTTGCCCTGCTCCCCTCCGGCCCCAGCCGATTCATCTATGCTAAGGAGTTGCACACAGTCTCCCACTGAGGATCTTCTGAGTGTTGGGGATTAGTGACAACCAAGTTTTTGTTGGAGTGAGGTGCACACCCCTGCATGTATTCAGGATGTCGAATGCTGACTATGAAGGACACAATGTTCCCAATCAGCAACTTCTGAGAGAAGTAAACTATATTCTGTGGCCAGAATCCCATCCTCATGCAGATGACTGAGTTACTCCTTTTGTACTTCAGACAAGATCAAACACAGTGTCAGAGAAATTAACTCATAATACTCTATAATACTCTAACACTTTCAGGATTTATGTCTGGATAGTGTTTTTATATCTATTTTTACAGGGTTAATTTCATGTGGACAACATCAGTGCAATCAAGCTACTTTGCACACACTACCTACACTGAAACCTTGACTTTTTCTTGGAACTTAAGTTGAGGAGTCATGTGGGTAGGTGAAATGCAATGCTATCTGTAGCTGCCTGGTCTTAGTATTTGAAAACAGCTTTGAGCACACTACCCATTTCTACTCTGCCTTAACTATTCATGTTTACATAGGATCACTTTTTGACAATGTATTCCATTTCTTGTGGCCTCTTCAAATGACCACTGAAAATATGATGATTGTATTGTGCTTACTGATAACCATGTTTAGCATATGTAGGTATGGATATGAACCTCTGTTATGTCCATGAGCCTTAAATTAAAATTCAAAATGTGGATGAGGTCTATGCAATCCAAGCTTCAGAATACAAATTTGCCTTTTAGAGCAAAATGGTTTACCGAGTTAAAAAGAAATAAATCTTTGTAGCTTTCATAACTAGCAAAGTATACAGTGATGTGACTACATCTAATGCCAGTGCAGTGTTCCCTGGAAGCTCTTCATTTTTTTTTTTGAGATCTACAGAGTAAACTTGGATGTTTTGTTCATTACAGATTTCATTAATGCAAAAGTCAAAAAGGACCTTCAATCATTGTCATGGAATCCAGGACAATCATTTAGATTAGCTTCTAGTATAAACTAGAAAATTTCAACCACTTGCTCCATAGAATCAGCATCTAGGGATAGAGAACCAAAATTTCCCTTCATGGTTACCTCTAAACAGTATACTTTCCCTCTTCCTGTCTAAATGAAAGAACAAAGAGGGAGTCCTGTTTCTAGTTTGAACATAAGTGGTTTTAACTTCCATGTCCTTGTTCTCTTTGGGTTTGTTCACCAAATGTTAACAAACCCTTTACAGAGTTTGGTATTGTGCCTAGGAAGGTATTAATAGCTTCATGAAGTCACCTGCAGCTGTCTGGTAAGTTATGACCTCATTGCGTCTCTTGGTGGAAGCGGTGATTGGCTCTCTGGTCAGGGGTGATACTGCTGAGCATGCGAGGAACCTGCCAGTCACTCCAGAGACAGGCAATGCCAGAGCTGAACTGGGCCCTGTGCGTGCAAAAATGTTATTTCATTGACGAGCGCAGATTAAGATTCTTTACTTTGTAGCTGAAGGAGTAGTTAAAATCAGAATAAACTGGCACCAGCACTGAGAGATGTGGTACTGTCCTTCTCCTCCCTTATGCTGGCACCAGTGCAGGGTGGCCTGGATCAGAATGGGTCCAGCTGAGAGCTAACCCAGTTATATAAAAGGAAAAGAAAAGAAAGAGGCCAAACAGCATTAATTCTCTTCCCAGATCAGTTCCCTCCATATGTTTTACTATGTGGGTGTCCAAATTTTTGTTCTGATGGAGTATGGTGTGCAACACAGGAAAAAGCAAGCAGGTAGGGAAAGGCTGTATGACCTCTTCTGGTATCAGCACGAGCTTACACCTCCATGAGAGGGTTTGTTAAACAACAACCTTATAGGAACAGAAATCAATTCACTGAACTACTCTGTGTGCAGCTCTAGGCACCACAATTTAAGAAGGACATGAAGGTCCTTGAATATTTCCAGAGGAAGGCAAAAAAGGGCTGGAAGGCATGTCCTCCTAAGAGTGCCTTAGGACTTTGGGTTTGTCTAGTTTGGAGTGAAAGGAAGCTGATGGGTGACATCATTGCTCTCTCTAGCTTCCTGAGGAGGGGGAGCAGAGAGGGAGGTGCAGTTCTCTTCTTGGATCCAGTGACAGGACACATGTGAATGGTTCAAAGCTGTGCCATTAGGAAGCAATTCTTTACCATGAGGGTGGTCAAATGCTTGGAACAGGCTTCCTGGAGAGATGGTCAATGCCAAGAGGCATTTGCATAATGCTCTTAATAACATGTTTTAACTTGGTCAGCCCTGAATTTTTCAGGCAGTTGGACTAGATGATCGTTGCAGGTCTCTTCCAACTGAAATAGCCTATTCTATTTGGTTCTATTCTAAAGCATCTTGAGCCATCTTTGCCATTGCTGTTTTCCAGGTTTGTTGTAGAGAGAGAAGTAAAACAGAGCTAGAAGTTCAAAACAGGGTGAAACTGGCAGCTCATACTTTACTAGCTGTGCTCAGCTAATTACCTTACTACTCGTTTTTTTTGTTTTGTTTTGTTTAAAGATTAACTGCAATAACACAACTGACCAATGTTATCAAGAAAAATCAGGTCCTGGGAGCTCAAGCTCAGAAGAAGGAAAAGCATCTGCAGAGAGAAAATTCTGCTTGGAGGAGTTAGAGAAGTATACTTTTTCTGTGTGGTAAGCAATCTCAGCATCAAATAGTTCCACAACCCAAAAGTATACCTTGTTATTCTTGTATTATAGTAGTATCTAAATTCAGATGAATGTTATTAGGCTGCAAAATCCAACGCATAGGCTGACAGTTACTAAGCAATGCCAGTTTGTCCCCTTTGTGCACGCATTATGATTATGACATCATATGCTATTTTTCCACAGAGCTCACATTTCTCTGTGCGTGTTTTGTAAATATTGTAAATATTGAATTTTGTATTTTCTGCTTTTTGTTCACTGTGGCCCCTGGCCTTTTTTTACAACATGCAGACCCTGCCTAGAATTCAAAATTACTGATTTTCTTGTACCTTCCTTCCAATAGAACTTAACAAGTAAGAGTTACTTTTTCTTCACAAACTCGTTCTGAAGTAAGGAAGGGGTGTTACTTCACCTTCACAGATAGGGCTATGAGATAAGATATTTCCAGAACTTGTAAGTATCAAAGAGTTTGATTTTCTTTGACTCCTTAGTATTATTTATGATTGAAGTTGATTAGAAAAAATTGGAAGCATTTTTTTGTCTGAGAATGTAATTTTGACATTGCTGCATTGCTTTGAGAAGCTGTGTCAGGAGAAGAAATGAAAGGGGTTTTCTAGAAAAATTTCTTTAGCATTTTAAGAGCAGAAATGAAAGGGGTTTTCTAGAAAAATCTCTTCAGTATTTTAAGAGCAATACACCACCTTTCTTGGATGTTACTTTAACTATTACTACTTTTCTCCATTATAAAATACATATATGGGGAATGACTTGAATGAAAAGATAAATTGAAAAGACTGCATCAAAATGAAATCTTTTAATTTCCTTATAATTATTCTTCCTGGGATTTCATTTTCAAGGTAATTGCAAGAGTTGGACAGTTATTTGTAATTAATAGAAAACTATGAAGACCCAATCCTTCACTAAATGAAATGATCTGATAATCTTTCATGACTCTTTATATTGTGTTTTGAATGTTTGAAATCCAGCTGTAATGTGTATCTCTGGCACCTATGGTCTTCTGCAAATCAGACTCTAGAGTTTCAAATAAAACATCCAGAAAATGAGCATGCACCCACCCATCATGAGGGTGGGTGCATGTGAAAATTTTTTTTTAAATGACTTCCCTATCAAAACATTTGAAAGCAGGATTATCTAATCAGGCAAGCCAAGCAGCCTTCAGCACCACTAACCCTGTCATTCACTGCTCTCACTTGCCACATTCACTTGGTGCCTTTAAAGTTTGGCAGAAAGTTAGGTAAAGACCCTACAGACACAAAGCGCATTTTCACTGTAGAAAGTCAACCCTAGAGGTGGTCAGCCCTGACTGTTGCAGGAGGCAGCAATCAAATGGAAAAATAGCACACAATCATATCAAATCAGACTGCCATAATTCTGCTGCATGACTCGTGGTTATTTTGGATAGTTAAGGACTCCCCATTTAAGAATAGAATTTAGAGAAGCAGCGTTTGTCCTAGTATCCTTGCTGTCTCCCACTGTTTTATTTTGCCTACCTCAATTTTCAGATTAAATTAACCAAATTATCATTGACCTTTTCTGTCTCAACATGCTTGTTTCTATGGTGGTGAACTTCATCATCTCTCTTCCATGTCTTGCAGAGTTGCAATGAGACAATTAAAGTTTAAAGTCAGCAATATTGATCCTTTATTCTTTTCAAAGTTGTTCAGCTTGAAAGTGCTGGGAAAGGGGCTCAAGTCCATCCTTCCTCATCACTGAAGCATTCCTGGAGCACATACTGGTTTCTGTCCCTGCAGCAGCCTGGCCCCAGGTTTTGAAGGCTGTGGCCTCTCTGCCTGCAAAAGGTGCCCAAAAGAATGGAGGGGACAGGCATTTGTTTCAATTGGCATGCACCTCACTGTCTGATTTGGGGATCAAGAAAAAATGGTGGTTCTTTCTTCCTTTCCCTTTTCCTTTCTTCATCATCTCTTAGGAAGTCCAGTTCACTTTGGAGCCCTGTGCCTGCAGGGACACTGGCTTCACTAGGGTTCCCCTGGGGAGACGGAGGTATGTCTGAGCACAGTAAGTTACAAGGCATAAACCATATTTTCCTGGTACAAAACAAAGGCTACAAGGCATGTGACATGGTGACTGCTTGTCTGTGAAGACAGCCGAGGCTAGTATTTTATTATTTCAATATGCCATTCTATTTACTGTCTCTGTCATCCTGTTTGAAATAAGGACCAGTGCTTTATTTACTTATTTATTATGTGAAAGTCCCATGAGGCTAGAACAAAACAGAATTTAGAGACCATTTCTTTGCTTTCTGATTCAGCTGTGGTATAACATCATCTTTATCAAAAAGAAAAAAAAAGGAAAACAAATCACTCTTGGTCAAGTAATATATATATTTCACTTAGCATGCCATGTAAAGAATATGTCCTTAATAATAATATTTTTTTCAAAATTAGAGTTAATTCACTTTCCCTGTGTGATTGAAGGAGTATCTGGTACCTTATGAGCTGTTAGTTCCATTTGTTACCATACCAGGCTGATGTTATGGTTGTTACTCACTTCTGTCTATCTCTTCTCCTTTCCTTCTCTCCTATTTTCTCCATCAAAGGGCATCAGCTCCTCTTTGTCTGTTTCCAGACCTTCCTCTCTGCTAAGATTGCTACCTTTTAAAAAATGCAATGCAAGATAATTAGCTACTACAAAAATTTTTAATAGGACTATAGATCTGGGGGCAGCTTAGATCTCCATAAACTTCAGAGTTTTAGATGCTCCAAGATGCAATCTGAGCAATTTCCTTGATCTTTTATTGCAGCTGGTAAATCATTTATTGGGCTAGGTTATTTTACAAAATCCTCTTTAAAAACGAAATCCCATAAAATGTATTTATCATAAAATACTGCACGTCCAACAGTCTTCAAAGTTGTACATACCCCGTATTAATTAAAAGCTAGTGTTGCACTGTGACAAGTTAAAACCATCCACTCTGTCTCAGTCTCTCCTTTTTTCCTCTCTCTCTCCCTGCCTCCCCCTGTATTTTTTTCCTCTCTTATTTCCTCCCTCTCATCTACTCTTTTCTTGTAGGGCTTGCCAAAGGGGAGACTGGCGAGTACGAGCAAAATATTCTTTTGTGATCACAAATATTTTTCTGATAATTGTGATTATTTTTTTTGTTTGTTTCCATTGGTATAGCATGCTTGTCCTTTTCATATTAATTTGACAGTGGTGTCTCACATCCGTAGGCCATAGTCAAACCTCCTTACAAGTGGGCATTATACACATATGTAATAAAAAGATCCTTCTGGCTGCAGAAGCCTGCAGCCTTCAGATTCAATCTTGCATCCTACATGAGGTTTTTGCTTAGGTCCAGTGAGTTGGTGATGAGGGGGATGAGTCCGAAACACAAGATGAGAGAAATTAAGACAACAGATGAATGTGGTCACTTATTACAGGGAGGTGCATGCTGTTGATATGGACACCTGTGGTGCTAAACAGCCACCAAACGCTTTGCAGACCTTTCTGGAGAGCCAACCCCAGGACCTTGCTTCCCATCATGGCATCTCTGAACCACCCTTCTCTCAGATATTTGCATTTCTGGAAGTAAATGCCTGTGTAACCTGCAGCAGCACATGAATATTTTAGGGGCTATTGTCTAAATAAGACAAGTAAAATCTATAACCTTGAGAGAGAAAATGTTTGGAGGAATTTTGACCCTTGCAGCCCAAAACCTGATATCAGAAGCTTTCTAGCCCTGTTCTTCTGTCCCCTGAAGCAAGCAAAATTTGAGGAAAAAATGTTCCTCATGGCTATTTGTCGCTATAAAGCCAGATTTTCTGTAAGTGCATAATAAATATGGACCTGAAAGATAGTTTCAGCACTTCAACACTTTTAGCACTGCTTTTTATGCATAGTTTTAGAGGAGACAGGAAAAACATCCCAGATATCAAAACATTTATCTGTCTTCAAAAAAAAAAGAAGAAAAAAAAAGTCACTTTCAGTGACTAGGAATCTTCAGGCTTGAGTTTAAGTATAAATAATGAACTAGCAGTTTCAATTGCCAATAACTTATCATCAAACACAACTCTTAAGGGTTAATACTACACACTAATATAAAAGTAACGATCATCCTTTGTCTCCATGCAATTAGCTTTTTAACAATGTGCCTGTAGCTCATACCCAGGCTAAATGCTGCTTTGAAATATTTTCTCCTGAACTCCAAATGTGTTAAGATACTCTGGCCAGCTTCTATAAAAATAATTTATTGCATGGCACTGCCTTTTGTGGGTGACTACCTGGTGCCCTGTGCAGGCAGTGCCATGAGATGCCCACAGTTGCTTTGCTGCAGGCTGGTCAGTGCAGCATCAGTGGAGGATAAAACAGCATCTTGAGACAGGAGACCAGACCATGTTTCACAGCATGCAGGCATCAATAAGATATAAATCCTGCCTGGATTTGCATTCTTGCACCTCTGAAATCCAGGGGGGATGGCCCAGGCTTTGGTTCTCACTTGTAGCTATCAGGAGCAGATGCAGCCCAGGTCGGAGAGCAGTAGGAAGGAGAGGGTGGAGAAAAGTTGGGGTCTTGGCAGCATACTACTACCCTAGGCAGGACAGAGGGGGTTGAAGACCCCTTTGCAACCCTGCCTTTGCACCTGTAGCCTTTATGATTTTACCTGCTGGTGGTTTTTTGGCCAAATTGTTGAGGACACTCAGGGGCAGGAAGAGTTAACTGTAAACAGCACAGTATAGTAAAGTTGTTTTTTAATAAAAACAATAAACTTTCCCTTTATGATACACATGTGATTTGACATTGAAATAAATGCAGATGCTTCTTTGCTTGGTGTATTCCCTGTTGTGCTTTCTAAAACACCTTCACATATGGTTTGCCTCATTCCTGTGAATCTGCTTGTTGTTTATGTCATACAAACAGAAGAGATTGAATTTACACCGAGTAAGGAGGGTGATGAATTACACGTTGGAGGAAAACCCTTGTCTGAGTGTTTAAAATTTGTTCAAAATTAG